TTCAAGTTAAGTACGATTTCCCATGTAAACAAAAATTCCAAAGGTGACTCGACAGCAACTCATTTTTGATCGCATTGTATTAACCAAAGATGTGGAAGTTTTAAATGTGACCAGTGCATTATTAAAAGTAGGTAGTTACAAAATTATGTTACCAACCAAACATATGATTGTGTTACCAACTCATGATTAAAAAAAAACTAATTTACAAAACTATTAATTTTGACCTTTTTTTACGCAATTCGTTACAAAAAATATTGTACCTAACTCTTTCGGAAAGAATTTTCCCGCATTCGCACTAAATGCAGCACTCCCTACGGTCGTGCTGCAAACAAAGTGCTCATGCGGGAAAATTAACTTACCGAACTTGTTAGGTAAATAACTATTTCATATTCTTTATAATAGGCTTTACTGGAGTTGGATTTTACACCTACCAACGTTTGTTTAGATTTTACAACAATCGATTTAATGGACGGTGTATTATCTTTTTCAACGGAAATAGTTTAATTCACAAAGACGATGATTTTTATAAGCAATCGTCAAGTGACATTTCCATGGCAATCGTGAAATTACGAACACCCAGCCCACTTAATTAGACATGTATTCGAGTATAACGTCAATATGACTTCATTGTATTTCCTATTTTTAAATTATACTGCAGGTATAATAAAAAATACTATAAGATACACGTGTATAATTGGTCTTTAAAGCACTTGCAACGTTAAAGGCACTCCGCTTTGCGTCGTGCCCTTAAACTCGTTGCGCGTGCTTTAAAGACTTGATTATACACTTGTATCTTAATATACTATTGTGTACACGCACACTTCCTAAAAATAAGGGTGCAATGAGTTGTCGCTCTTCAAAACATATTTGAATATATCGTCTTGTACATTTGCGGAAAATATCGAATTGTTTGATGTACTTTTCGGCGTGAAGAAACAATGCTAGTGATTTAAATACTGTAACCAGTTGATCGCGAATATCATTTTTTCGCGGGCATTTCCCGAACTAGGGACCAGTTCTCCGTCCTAGGGGTGGATAGTAAATAAATAACATATATTGAAAAATGTCATGTTGCCTTTTGCCATGTTAAATTATATTTCCTTTTATCATTAATTGCAGTTGTTTACCATTCAATTCGTGCAAGACTTTTTTATTTATTTAACCACAGATCTCATCAAGTTATGGGCCCAGTATTGTGTGATTTTATTTTTGTTGACCCAAATGAAATATCGGTTCCGGTTCTGTTTATATTTTATAACGATTCCGGTCTGGTTTCGGTTCTAAAACAAATATCGGTTCAGTTCTGCGCATTTTTTTCCATCCATAACGGTTCTTTTCGGTTCTCTAGTCTTTTAGAAAGTATGGCATTAAAAAAATTCATTATATATAACAACTTGATTTGTTTACTAATAGGTGTGAAAAGGAAGTAAAAAGTCATGAATAGCAAAACGGAACGTATCGTCAGTGTAGCTAATTTACAACAAGGGGAATAAATGAGGAAGTGGGAAGTATGTACCTATTTAAACTTAACTGATTAATAAACAAACAGAAAAAATACATAAAAGCTTATGTAAATTCTGCACAGCTCTTGTGCAGATAAAGCGAATTTTTTAAACCGAAATAGCTTAGTAAATGACTCGGTTAGAAGGTAGTAGCATGCTATCTATGTTTACTTTCTTGGTAGATGATCAAAGGGGAGGAGGCTCTTTACACATAAACATTGAAAAACCGCCTGGCATACATTCAAAATGCTCTGACACTTCATTTTGACATCACCAATAGATATTTGTTGTCCTGACTTTCCACTTGCTTTTTATGAGTATCCTCTGTCGACACTTCCTTGTCAAAGTATTTACTGCGTCTTCACCAATAGATATGTCTCGAGCAGTCGATTCATTTTGCCTTTGAGAGTACTTTGTTCCGACAACCCGTTTTCGAGATATTCGCTCTTAAAATTCTGACAACACCAATGGATATATTTCTTCCAGACGTCCCAATCGCTCTTTGTGAGTACCCTCTTCCCACAATCTGTTCTGGAGATACAAGGGAATATATCTTATCACGATAAGGGGTCGAGGAGGAGGACTATGGTTGGTAAAAATTAATTCCTTTCGCTGAGACCTTTCATTAGAGTACCATGAAGGATAAAACCAGTTCCACTCTCCACCCCGCCCTTTCAACCCCCTCTTTTGGTAAGGGGTCAGAAAGAAGGGCGGTAGTAGGTAGAAAACGGTTCCTTTCTTTGAGACTTTTAATTAGAATACCATGAAAGATAAAATTAATGTCTACTCTCCTAAACGTGTGTTTACACCCCCCCACCCGTCACAATTTTCAAAAGTTTTACTTGGCACCACTAGTGAATGGCATGCGTATGCAAAATCTTACACCAATTTGTTGTCGTATGTAAAAGTTATGCGCGTTTTAGTTCAAAAACAGTATCTCAGGAAATATTTTATGCCCCCCTTCCCTTAAGACACCGACATTTATTGACCGTCTGGCACACCTACAAGGTATAGGCTACCTACTGCATGTAAATTCTAGGACTCTAGGGCCATTCCCCTAGAAGTAGTTCAAAACGGCAGTAGTGAGTCCGGATGGACGGACCGGGACAAGAGCACATTTTTTTTAATTCTTAAAAAATGCGCTAAAAATTATGTATGGAGTATTGTTTTTGTTTTTATTTTATAAAACCTCGCCCCTCCTTTTATTATTTACATTTATAGTAGTGGCCAAATTACCGCCACCGGCACCTGTACTGCCTCCAATTTCAACACACACAACATTTATAATCCACCGGTGGCAATCATGGTAGTAATATTTTATCAAGACGTGTTGGAAGATTTTCGGTTGCTCTTTTTCCTTCCTTCTAATCACTCAAGACCCTAGAGCTACTCTCGTAGTAATGAGGGGGCAACTCTTGTTTGTATTGGAATTTCCCTTAGCACTCATCTGGTAACCTCCTACCACCCTCACGGTAACCTTTCGAAAAAGGTGATCAAGTCCTCCTATGAATTTTTTTTTGTTCTCCAACGTAACTCTTTTTGCGGTTTCGATTTCAATTTTCCTTTCACCAACGATTAAACTACTCCGCGCAGATATACGGTTGATTAATTTAAACTTCTTCCCATACGACACGAATGCTAATGTGACTTCAAGCGATTATTTCCTGCCGCTCTCCACGAACGAAATCGTCTTTACCGTGGCTTGACGCGTATTACCCCGCGGCTATCCCTAAACGACCTAATTCCCACCACCCTAAATCCCTAAAACTACGCCCATCGAACATTCGAATCTGTTCTTCCATCATAAAATTCATTATTTCCAACCGGTCAAATAGCCAGAAACCCAGAATTGAATGATTTCTTACGGAGCCAAAACGAAATGCTGTGCGACACCCTGCGAATTGTATTGTAATTCTAGTTAATTTTATTTTATACCGCGACTATCTGGCGCTTCTAACTTTCACACGTATTTAACTAACTAGAACTGTAATCGGAAACCCTTCCCCTAAATAAAAATCGAAAGCGTTCAGAAGATTCGAATTAATAAGCTGCGATTGCGGGTTCCCGTTACAGACGTAAGCGTAGAGCTTGATGGAGAAGGGGTTAATCTTTGGCCTCGGAAGTATCTTTCCAACTTGAGTGGTAGATAGTAGTGCAGGTTGCTCAATCGAAGTTTAGGGGGATGTTTTAATTCTTGGAAACCACATTCATCGATAACTTTTCGAACTTTTTGAACATTTCAATTTGCGTGTAGCAATTGCAGCTTAAAAGTTTCTTTATCAACATTGCCGTTAAGTGCTCTTTTTATGAACTCAATCAACAGAATACCCCTCAGAATCCCAAAAAACTGTTGTCAGGAATTTTCTTGGTGAACACTAGGTTTTCGATTCTTTTTGGTGGTGGTGATGTTTTATGCGCCCACAAGTAGAACATTTTTCTGGGGACACCATGTTCATCTCCAAATTTCAATTTTTAAAGCCGTTGCCTCTGAGATGAGCACTTTCCTTTCAATAACTGAAACCTTCATTCTTCAATCTGTCGAGACCATCTATTCAATTCTCCCAATTGTTTCCTGCTTTACTGCCTCAAAGGGCCTACACGAACGACACAATTACAAAAATCTTTCAGTTTGTGCACCACTTACTCAGTAGGTACTAACTGCAAATGCTGACGCTGTTTGACAGTCGACCTACTCGAATACCGCTTTTGAAAATAAGTGCCCTGACGAGTCAACAATTAATAAACAAGCGTGCGAGTAAATTACAATGTTCTATTGTCGTCTGTGCTGTTTGATCAACACTAGATTTGTTTTGGTTAGACTTAATTGAAGTAGTATTGGACAACATTGTAATTTTAAAACTCGGACGTTTGTTTAAGAACCCACTAAATTTTGAGTCTCTTGTAATGTGGGCAAGCCTAGTGTTTATTTGTGAGACAAAAATTAAAAAGTTTGAGAAAACATATACAATTAATTTTCTTCTGTAAATCTAGTTTTTCTGGCCCTTTGAAGTCTTTTTCAGTGACGGATGGGGGAGTGACGGTCTCATCTATTTTTTTTTGTTAGTCCTGAAGTTCTTTGTGACATTTTAGCAATTTTTTTTATCTATGTGTGGATCATGTTGGGCTACTTGGTGAGTTACACAGCAGTATCAACCTCCTTTTTATCCAAAATAAATTTATTTATGTGTTATTTATATACAGGATAATACCAATGATAAATCCCCTACAATCTAAACCTATATATCTGTGCTAGAGCTAATAAGGAAACTATCTATACTACGTACTATAAATTAATTAATTCCGTAACCGTAACTATTGATCAATGAAGTTTGCATCACATGTCACGGTGTAAGGTAATTTCTATTCAATTAACCTTCATTAACTGAATTGAAGACTTAATAATTTTCGCAATCACAATTTCCGAATAAATTTCAGGGCCCATCAAATATGGATATGAATAGTGCTAGACGTGTAATAAAGGTTGCGACAAGGCGCTTCTATAGTGACTATTTAATTCATCTAGCTAACGTAGGTGAGCGAGTAACTGGGCCGAGTACTCTTGTAATGTGCAATGCGTATTCCAAAGGTGCGAAACGTATTGTACTCAATTCTGTGCCCTTCGCAAGATCATAAATGCAGAATATGAAGTTCTCAGTACCTAAAAAAATGAAGTATAAAAATCTAATGTGAAGTTTGCATTAGATACCCAAGTGAAAGTGAACAGTTGAATGAACGCAAATTTTCCCGCTGTCAATTTGACAGGTCTCTGGCTACGAATCATGGTCAGAATTAAAGCCTTTTGAAACCTGAGATCAGTTCCGACGAAGTCAGTTTCGTAAGCAGCTTCGGCGACGAGCTGACTTTGTAATATGACTTGTTCTCCCCAAAACGATAACGTGCCGATTTGCACCAGAAAGCTCACAATTTCGCCCAACGTTCTGACAATCTGCAGATAATTGGTTAACTGAAAATTTGCGTTGATTTCGGTATACTGTTAGGGGTAGCTATACCACAGAGCCTCTGTAAATTTCAAAGCAGAGCAACCCGATCGTTCCCAAGTAAACCAAAAGGAGAAGCGTGCTGAAGGCCTCCTCCATCTCTCTGGCTATATCAATCACCGCCAGATGGTACTTCAAGAATTTGACATGCGATCTTTGTAAATACTTCCAGGGGATCAAAGCAGTGGCCTTAGATATTTCCAAATTGGGATTTCCCTGTAAGCAATTGATTTTCATGCAAACCCCGAAGAGATTTACCTTGTAATCGACGATGTAGGTGTCCTTAACGAGACGTCTCACGTAGTTTTGCAAGATTTTGAACTGATAACTGATGTGGGCCAGCACGGAAGCGATCAGTAGGTCGGTCGCCGTGAAAAGTATCGTGCAACAGCTCATCGCGAAGTTTTGATAGAGTAAAGTAATTTCGTAGTAGGGACTCTTGGTCGTGTCCAAAATCGTTATCGGGCCATACGCTAGCACCCAACGTTGAGGGTCACTGTTAGCAATTCGCCTATACAGTGTGAATAGAATTGTGCACGACACTGTAGTAAAGGCCATACCCCAATAAACTGCAATCTAAAAAATGTTGAGATTAGCATGATTAGCGGTATGGAGAATACCTATTTTGAAATCGTAATTACCTTACAACCAGTTTTTTCACCTTATGCTAAACTTAACTGGCAGATAATTTCATATCCACAATCGCCTTCGTCTATCAAATTTAACAAGAGATCTTTAAAATTGCTTGCAGAATTTATCACCAAAGGATTTTTTAGAGGGTATTAGTTGATTGCAAAGGTTTTATTTTAGTAAATATGCACAAATTATTTTTGATCGATGGCCACTCTAATTTTTGGCAATTTAACCAGTTGTGGAGTATGCTCGAAGTAGTTTTGGAATGGAGTTAAGCACTTCTTCTCTAAATTTGGAGGATATAAATGAGATTTATTGATATGTAAGTGTGATCGCCATTTTGGATTTCAACTCTGTTCAGTGTACGAGTGTAGTTTCACGTTCAACTTGACAACCACGATTTCACTCAAGGTTGATACCGGTTTCTTATCAATCCACTTGGCAATTGGGCAGCTTTGTGAGCCGCGAAGCCGGACTCGATATTTTATTGTTAGAAAGTGGAAATGAATATTTGCATATTATTGTATTATCGAATTAGCGTGCTCACGTTTAAATAAATTGTTGGCACGATAGCGTTGTGATCCAAAGTACAGAATGTTCCATTTATCCGTTTATCTTTGGAGCGGTTCGATTAAAAAAACAAGTCTGTTAATAAAAACTGTGTACCTCTCTTGTATGTACGGGGTGTTCATAGATTTTTACATTAAACGGTAACCGGTAAAAAAATTAAAGACAATTAGTTCGTGTTTCTGCTAGCTGTTAAATCCTAAGCTGTAAGAGTAAAAATGTTTGTCATTTCTCTATAGCGGAATATTGGTCAATTAATCCAATAAATAAACAAAAGTTCAAGTTCGGGGAATCTGTAGCTCAGTTTTTTCCGGATTCAAATTATCATACATCTTTCGAGATTCACTTTCAACGAGTAGTTAATATAAAAGTTCCGCACAAACGTTCTAGTCCATTGAAAAGTTACATTTGGGGTTGCGTTTATCAGGGGACGCAATTATGTTTTTCAAATATCAAGGGGGGTTAGTTTAAAGTTAAATCCGAGTTTGTGGGGTTGCAGCCCTTGTCCCGCGGCCGCCATCTTGAAAAAAGTGGTGCAAATGGTTTTTATGGTTTATCTGACAAACTATTGGTCTCACAAAAAATGTATTCAGACATTTTTGAATAAAAATAAAATTTTCTACATCTTTGGTTCAGTAACTTTTAGTCGTAGCATCAAAAATAACAAAGTTATAAACGAAAATTGATGAACATTTTGTAAACAATTTTCAATTGGTCCTTATAACTTTTTTCTGGTCATTTTACAAAAAATTACTTCAGATCATTTTTATAGAGGGGTTTTCAAGGAATAATTTTTATAACAAACTTTTTCAATTTTATTAATTCATTAAGATTTTATAGCGCTCCAGTATTAAACTATACATAAATATTAATGATTTAACGTAACTTCCTAATGTTCTAAAATCTAAATGACATGACATTATTACTTCCTTGGTCTTTTGATGGACTAGGCTGCAGATCATGATTTTGTTGATTTTCAATATCGGCCGCGGAACAAGGGCTGCAACCCCACAAACTTGTATTTAACTTTAGACTAACCTCTCCTTGATATCTAAAAAATAAAGTTGCGTCCTCTGACAAACGCACGCTAAGCCCAAACAAATGTAACATTTCAATCGACTATTCGACCATCCAATTTGCTGACTGACGGTTGCCCTTCAAAAGGAGAAAAAGTAACTGTCAATAGGAGAAAATTTTGACTCATCGATAAATGTAAGTTATTTTGAAATTATTGCATTGTGTAACATTAGGAATCGATTGTTTTGAGGATTTTGTGTAAAATTTATTCTGGAAGACAATGGAGTATTCCTGAAGAGGTCGACCCACGGGAATTTATTCGGTAAACCAATTTGCATGTTTTTCTATGAATGATAAGCGAACCCAAACAATAGATTTTGGTGATTTTTTATTATTAATTGTGAAGCCGAATTTTAAGTTCATTGATACCATTCTTTTGCGTGGGTTAAAATTTTATGTAGCATCCAGAGGGTGTTGAATTAATTACAAATAGTAAAATAAATCTGGATAATTAATTAGATTTGGACGTGATCACGAGACTAAAAATTGTAACTTATATTCCTTGATTCAGCAATTCGAAAAAACTGAAAAATTCGCAGAAAGAAAAAAAAGGCGAAGAATCCAAAAGATCCAAAGAATCAAACGAATCTGAACCGTCCAAAAAATTTGAAGCAACCGAAGAATGCGTAGAATCATATGAATTTTAGGATCTCGTAGAATTTGAATAGGCATAACAATTTTAAAAAAATTCAAAGACTGAAAAATTCAACAAACTAAGAAGTATCAATAAATATCTAATATATTTGAAAACATGAAGAATTCAAAGAAACAAAAGAATACGAATCTAATATGTCGAATGAATTTGAAGAAAGTGAAGAACCCGCAGAATTTTAAGAATCTGAATGGTTTGGAGCTACGATAAGGCATCTGAAGAACCAAGGAAGGAAAAATGCGAAAAAATGGAAAAATTCAATTCCGGCTAAAAGAAGAATGACTCGTGATCAGAGGGTTTCAAGCATGGAAGACGGACAAAGGAATTGAAAATGAAATACCGCAATGGTGTAAGAAACAAATGAATTTGAAGACCGCAATATTAGAAATTGGAAGAACGCCAAAAACCCAAAGAATCTCATAAACCTGAAAATTGGAGGAGCTTGGTGAATATTATGAATTATACAGTACTGCTGAAGTCCAAATATGCGAAAACCCAAGCACACAAACTGAGAAACAATGAAAAATGCAAATAGGTTATAGAATCTGAGGAGGAAGGCTGTAAAGAACCATAACAATTTGAGAAATTTAAAAATTTGGAAAAATAGAACGGTAAGTAACAGAAGAATACCAACAATCTATAAAGTCGAAAGAATTCCATGAATCTTGAGAATCTGGTGAATCTTAGCATAAAAAATATGAACAATCCAAAAGATGGGAAAAAGCATCCAAAAATTAGAAAAGTCTCGAAAATTTTAATTATGCGAAGAATTAAATCCAAGAACAAGGTTTGAAACAATGAGTAGAAATGGAAAAGCACAATTCCTGCTAATACTTCGCATAAAAGAATGACACATGATCAGCGGGTTGAAGGCAACACAAAGGACCGAGGAATAGAAAATAAATCACCGTATTGGTGTAATAAAAATGTAAAGAATCTAAATGAAACGAAAGAATCCCAGGATGGAAGGATTTTTAAGAATTCGATGGATGCGAAAATCGAGGAGGGTCGAAAAAATCCCAAGAATTTAACTAGTAGCGTAGAACTCCAAGATCGTAATTAGAAAAAGTGGAATTATTCGAAGAATTCGTGGTACTGTTATCAGCAAATTATTTTTTTTTGAATTTCTGTTACGTGGACTTGTGCAGTCATTCTGTGACGGTAAAATATGAAGAATCTACCTGTACGTTTGTAATAAAGGTGCACTGGTCAATAATCTTCTGCTCAGCGTCACCTCCCCTTGAAGCGTCTGGCAAAAAGGGCGCCTTATGCAGCTTGGCCAATATCTTACCGAGCTTCAAGCGATTGTAATAGGTCACACCAATTTTCGCCAAAACTGAAAAAAATACCCTCGCAAATGACTCGAAATGCATTTTTCTGCTTACCCATGAAGTAACAAAATTCGTAAACCAAATAGTCAATGTACACCTCAATGCCATGCACGTACATTTCCCTCACCCCCCAAATGGGATTAATTAAAATAGTTACGATCAGTAGTACCTTTGAATAAAGCTCGTATGCTTTACTTTCGTTTCCGGTAAAAGACACCCCGAAAATTCTCATTATCGTTGTCTCTTTCCAAAAGTAGTTGAGAGCCATTTTCATAACTACAATCTAAAGCCCTTGAAGATGTTATATATGAAGTGAAGTGAAATAAATTATAAAAATGCGCAATTACCGGGGGGTGCCACAATGCAGGACCGTAACGTTTCGACAAGATTATCCTGTCGTCGATAAACCGATGACACTTCGATCGCGAAACTGTGGAAATCTGCCATAATTTCGTGGAAAACGTCCACGTGTCCTGTGACGAACTTGCGACAATTTTCTTAAGCGCGTATGCATTCTGCTTATTGCGCCCCTTGTAGTGTGGGGTACCCTGCTGTTTTGTAATTATTGGTTCGTTGAGAAAAACCGCAGTTCTAGCAAGTGCAAATAAAACATTCAGCGCCATTCTATCAAATAAGAGATGGGGCACTGTAAATTATGAATGAAGGTATTATACGAAGTGCATAATTACAAGAAATGGAACTGGGAACACAATTTTACTGTAGAAATTCAAACATCTGTTGAACCACCTATTTCTACTGAAGGTCCGGAGAAAAGTTTTATTTTTAGGCACACTAAACTTTATTATCTTTCTCTTAAAATTAATAGTTTATATAAATTAATAAATTAAAGTTTAGCAAATTTGTATTCTTAAGTTTTAACTGGTCCTACAAAGACCATTTTCCTTTATATGTTGTGATATTAAATTTCTCGCTTTGTGTGCCTGGTCGGTTCGGCACAAAGGACCAATTTGAAGTTCCAAGAATTGCAGTGTTTCGAATGTTTAAAATAGGCATACCGGAAAACCTATTCAAAGACTCATCTCTGTAACTCTTATGGTTGCTGAGAAAACAATTAAAGAAGAAATCCTAATTTCACCACTTCTTTGGGGGTGGCTAACAAACGAAACACGTTGGACCCTCACTCAATTTTTTTTGCATGCGGTCATGTAACACCCTGTATAGAAAATGGTACTACCGTAAAAATCAGAAAATTATAAGGGAACGGGGTAAGTGTAAAAGTAATCATCAAAAACACGCTGGGGTTTTTACTCTGCCCCTTGAACCATTCAGTATTTATTTATTTATTTATTATCGCTCTCTTGTTCTGGGCCCTCAACAGGCTTGCGCCCAATTACGCATAATGCTTTTTAGAGGTGCCTCTGCAGAAGGTCTTAAGTTGTTCTATACTACTCCGGTATTTACCTTACGAATTAGCAAAACTGCAGGAAAACCTAATTCGGAGTAACCGGCATAATGCTCGAAACTGGTCTAAGGTAATTTTCAAAAAAAAAACGACATTAAAGCGAATAGTAATAAACGAAGTCTTACGGTAAAATAATAATAACATACAACTCAATGATTTACTACGCAGTTGGTGATAAATGTAATACACACAACGAAGCTGTTATTACTTTTTTTGTATTACAATCTTTGCAATATATGTAATAATAACAATAATAATATTATTAACGATACTGTTGATAGGTCAGATTTACTGCTCATTGTTGTTATGGTCGTTATGGTTTTTGCTTTGATTATGTAAAGCGAAGAGGTAAATACTGCCTTTGCTATTACCGTCCAGGAGAGCTCAAACTTACCAGTGATCCACGAGACAAATGGCCCAAATCTCTGATCCGCTCTCAAACATGGGACGAATACCACCAACACCTACACTTAGTGATAGAACGCCTGCAAAAACACCAACTTTTCCTGTTCGGGGTCTGCCACAGATGAAAAATTCACCTCAACCCAGGTTCAAACACCCGACCTCCGGATTTATACCCCAACGCTCTACCATTGAGCCATAAAACCGGAATTCAGTAATTCATCGTTCCTTCTAATCCAATAGGCGATCGTACCGGCGTGGTCTAGAATGGGATATGGGCCGTGATGTTGTCTCTTGCCCTTCCATCACGAGATCGTCTGCGTCGAACTGGGCGTGGTAGGTCCATAGTTTTCGTAGCGCGAAGTATCCGCGTTGGCTACGGTTCTCTTCTCTTATTCGTCGTCTTCTTCCATTCTGGCTGAAGCCCTGGCCTCGGAAGCTCGTATCCCAGGAGAGCGTGGCTGGGCGGTGTTTATGTGGCGGCGCGCGTTCCTTTGTGCTCATAGGGTGCATAAGATGGTCTGTAGAATGACGTACCGCGTTTTTGGATCCTTTTTGGTCAATAGTGGGACGGGCCAGACGGGTGTCGCAATCCCGGGGGGTTGAAAGCGACTCATTATCAAGTGTGGTAGCACCTCATAGGATTCTATAGAAGGTCCGTGCAGAACGCAGATCGAGGGAAGAACATTAAGTATGATATTTGTCTGGACGATAACGCAATCCCTGTGGTAGGGGTTGAAAGCGATTCTGGATCAAGTATGGTAACACCTCGTAGGATTCTATAGTCGGTCCGTGCAGAACGTAGATCGAGGGGAGAACAAACAAGTTTAATATTTGTCTGGTAGGTATCGCAATCACTGTGGTAGGGGTTGAAAGCAACTCTGGATCAAGTGTGGTAACACCTCATAGGATTCTATAGCCGGTGCGTGCAAAACGCAGATCGAGGGAAGAACAATTAAGTATACTATTTGTCTGCGAGTTCTATTTTATAAATCCTCGCAACTACATAGAAACAGAAAAATTTATTGGTTATAGACTCTTGGTACGCGATTTAGTAGAATAGAAATAGTGTGAAGTAGCTATAGAATTGATTCCGTTTAAGGTGGTATTTGTACATGTAGCACAAAAGAGAGATTGTTAAACGCTCTAACCAGATCAAGGGTTCAGACCGACATATCTCTGATATACACCCGTGTACCATCCAAAATAAACCTATCAGTGTTGAGTTGAATATCTGAATATCAGGCTCACAGAAATGTAGACAATTAAAGGTGTTCCTGACGCTACACTCTTCCAGAAGAGCTGCATATAGTTTTTATTTCAAAGTCACATCTTATATTTGAGTGCAAAAAAAATGCATATATTAATAGTACAGAGTTCTACAAGATTACACATTTTTAATAGCTATTTCATTTATCCAGGTGAGCCAATTTGTAACGGGAAATTGGGTCAAGTAACCGTGTGATGTGCAATTCGTGTCCTGTAGATTATTCCAAAACTGCAGCACATAGTCTTCTTCAATTTTGCGCACTTCGCAAGATCATAAATGCAGAATATGAAGTTTTCACTACCTGAAATTGAAACAGGTAAGTATAACAATCTAATTTGTAGTGTGAATCACCCAAGTGAAGGTGAACAGTTGAATGAACGCAAATTTTCCCGCTGTCAGTTTGACAGGTCTCTGGCTCCGAATCATGGTCAGAATTAAAGCCTTCTGGAACCTGAGATCAGTTCCGACGAAGTCAGTTTCGTAAGCAGCTTTGGCGACGAGCTGACTTTGGAATATGACTTGTTCTCCCCAAAACGATAACGTGCCGATTTGCACCAGAAAGCTCACAATTTCGCCCATCGTTCTGACCATCTGTAGATAATTGGTTAACTGAAAATTTGCGTTGATTTCGGTATACTGTTGGAGGTAGCCATACCACAGAGCCTCTGTAAATTTCAAAGCAGAGCAACCCGATCGTTCCCAAGTAAACCAAAAGGAGAAGCGTGCTGAAGGCCTCCTCCATCTCTCTGGCTATATCAATCACCGCCAGGTGGTACTTCAAGAATTTGACATGCGATCTTTGTAAATACTTCCAGGGGATCAAAGGAGTCGCCTTAGACATTTCCACATTGGGATTTCCCTGCAAGAATTTGACTTACGTGCAAAATTCCGAAGAGACTTACCTTGTAATCGACGATGTAGGTATCCTTGACGAGGCGTGTCATGTAGTTTTGCAGAATTTTGAACTGGTAGCTGATGTGCGCCAGTACGGAAGCGATCAGTAGATCGGTAGCCGTGAAAAGTATGGTACAGCAACTCATCGCGAAGTTTTGGTAGAACAACGTAATTTCGTAGTAGGGACTTTTGGTCGTGTCCAAAATCGTTAACGGCCCATAGGCTAACACCCAACGTTGAGGGTCACTGTTAGCGATTCGTCTATACAGTGTGAATAGAATTGTGCACGACACTGTAGTAAAGGCCATACCCCAATACACTGAAATCTAAAAAAAAACTTAAATCAGTATAACGAGTATCATGGGGCAGTCCGTTTATTGAGATTGTACCAAAATGTGGGGTGAGAAAAAGTGGACGTACCATGTAACGGGTGGTCGTTTTAGCCGTTTTTTTAAAAAAAGTGATTTTTTGAATTTTTGTTTGTACGTACCGCTTGATAGAGAACAAGAACAAAATTACGTCTGGAAATAAAAGGGGATAGCAACACGTGTATAACTTGAGATAAGTACACGCAGACGAGGTTGAACTTTAAAAGAATAAGCACGTACTCCTTGAGTGTGCAGAAGGTGGTTATTCCGCGTATTGGCAAAAATTTGGTGGCTAAATTTCAAAGGCCGCCAGGCAAACGAGCTAATTTTCCGAGCAGTTACATACTATATCTCAGTTGTGGTAAATGGTTGTTGGAGAAAATTTAAGCAAGTTGCAGAGAAGTGCTACCGGTATTTATTTTGAGCGGAGATTACTTTTTCGTCTTGTTGCTCTGGTAATCCAAAACCCGAGCTAACCTCGCTTTTATAGTGCTCTCAATAAAGCTAATATCTTCGCCCACGTACTAACTATCGACACTTGCTATGAAAACTTCGACCCGAAGATGAATGTTTCTTTACAGTATCAGTCGCGAATGAATGCAAGAATTTTCCTGGGGCGACTCCCATTTCATTTCATTTAATTAAAGACCACCCTCAAAATGGCGACTTGTTAATGCAAACGGCCATCATTAATCATTTATTGGTTGCAGATCTTCATCAGGAGCAGTTACCGATCCGTATGCAGATGTGCCTCTGGAGGACCATGATAATGATTACGGCGCCTTATTCTCACATTTTGAAAAACAATCTTAAAATTTCAACTCACTACCGTTGATCCACATCTTTAGTAGTGTGAATGAGGATAAAATATTTACTCTGACATTGCATCATAGTACTCGAAGGTAATGACTGCTGGACTGCCCCGATTTATGTGATTGGAAATTAATTGAATGTCCCATGGATTTGAATTTCTTCCGAGATTTGATTCCAAAGAATTTTTCCGGCCACGTAAATTGTAAGAATTTTGGTTGTTTACTGGTAATGAGATTTTAAATATCTGTCTAACTGAAAAAAAATTTGGTTCACCATAACACTCCATCATTTTTCACACACTTAATTGTCACGCACTGTATATAATCTACATATCTAATACGTTCCTTGGCCATATCTCGAGAACCGTTCGTCATATGACCGGGGTAAAAAAAATTATTGAGTAAATCGGTTATGAAGAATCGCTGGAAAATATTTTCAAGTTCTAAAAATGACCAACAGAGGGCGTAATTACCATCTTAAATTTCAAAATTGCATTTTCTTTAAATTTCGCATAATAAACTAAAATTTTTTTTCACATCGGTAAAGCGAACCAGTTTATCTATCATTTCCGTAAAAACAAAAACTCAGTTATTTCAAAAACAAAGATGGTGTGGGGCGTTCAACTGTTTTTGCAATAACCTGTTTTAACTTCTTAACCGTTTTACCGATTTGAACAAATTTGGAATAGTTGAAAAGAGAATTCCTTCGGCAATGACAATCAACCAAAATATAGTTGAATCCTTCTCGGCCAGGGGGCTAGTTTTGACACTATGACCCAAAGTCCTAAAAAAATCAAAAAAATAAAATGGAATGATATGACTTTCATTCTCATTTTCCCAATATTTGAGGTTAGGAACCAGATTTTGAAAAACGGTTTTCACTGGCCTCTTTGGATGTTCTTTGGCTCCTTTTCATAAGGAAAAAGTCATATCATTCCATATGATTTTTTTGATTTTTTTAGGATTTTGGATCATAGGGTCAAAACTAGCCCCCTGGCGGAGAAAGATTCAACTAAATTAACTATATTTTTGATTCTCATTGCCCAAGGCGTGCTCTTTTCAATCATACCAAATTTGTTAAAATCGGTCAAACGGTTAAGAAGTTAAAGCAGGTTACTGGAAAAACAATTGAACGCTCTACGCCATCTTTGTTTTTGAAATAAACGAGTTTTTGTTTTTACGAAAATGATAGATAAACCGGTTCTCTTTTTAAAATATGAAAAAATAATGTTTAGTTTATTATGCGAAATTGAAAGAAAATGCAATTTTAAAATTGAAGATGGCAGTTACGCCCTCTGGTGGTCATTTTTCGAACTTGACAAAATATTTGCAGCGATTCTTCATGACCGATTTACCCAATAATTTTTCGAGATATGACCGAGGAACAGTCTTATTGGGTCACCCGGTACAAGGTCCAAAATTTTTCGGGTCCGGCGATGCTACATTGTATCGGTTCATGTTCTTTGCAAAGCGTTGTTTCGATGGGAGGATACACGTCAGATCCCTATCGAATAGTGGTTAACTCGGTTAGGTGCGTAGTGCAGCAATTTCGTGTTAAATACTTAAATCATAAAAGACAGAGAAGTTTAAAGTAGTTCCAATACCTGTACTTTTGTGATAAAGGTGCACTCATCAATAATCTTCTGCTCAGCATCACCTCCTCTTGAAGCGTCTGGTAAGAAGGGGGCCTTATGCAGCTTAGCTAATATCTTACCGAGCTTCAAACGATTGTAATAAGTTACGCCTATTTTCGCCAAAACTGAAAACAAAACCCCTCGCAAATGGCCCCCGTTGCATTTTTCTTACCCATGAAGTAGGCAAATTCGTAAACCAAATAGTCGATGTACACTTCAACGCCGTGCACGTACATTTCCCTCACCCCCCAAATGGGATTAATTAAAATAGTTACGATCAGTAGTACCTTTGAATAAAGCTCGTATGCTTTACTTTCGTTTCCGGTAAAAGACACCCCGAAAATTCTCATTATCGTTGTCTCTTTCCTAAAGTAGTTGAGAGCCATCTTCATAACTACAATCCAAAGGCCTTGAAGATGTTATATATGAAGTGAAGTGAAATAAATTATAAAAATGCGCAGTTACCGGGCGGTGTCACAATGCAGGACCGTAACGTTGCAAAATGATCACCCTGTCGACGATAAGCCGTTGAGGTCTCGATCGTCAAGCTGTGGAAGTTTGACATGATTTCGTGGAAAACGTGGATGTGCCCCGTAATTAAATTGCATCAATTTTCTTAGGCGAGTGTGCATTCTGCTTATTGCGGCTCTTGTAGATTGGACAGCCGAGCGGGGAATCCAGCTGTTTTGTAATTATTGGTTCGTTGAGAAAAACGGCATTTCTAGCAAGTGCAAATAAAACATTCAGCGTCATTCTATCAAATAAGAAATGGGACAGGGTAAATTATGAATGAAGGTGGTATACGAAGTGCATAATTACAAGAAATGGAACTGGAACTATTTTGCTGTAGGAATTCAAACATCTGTTGAGCTATCTATTTCTCCTAGAGGTCCGGAGAGAAGTCTTGGTTTAGACACACTAAACTTTATTATCTTTTACTAACATTAGTAATTTATTTAAATTAATGAGTTGAAGTATAGGCAATTTCTAAGTTTCAACTGGTCTTATAAACACAATTTTTCCTTTATATGTTTTGATATTAAATTTTCTCTTTGTGTATCTATTCGGAGGAAATCGGCTCAAAGGACCAATTTGAAGTTGACGTTTTTTCTACTAAATCTTATTGTGTAGATGATGCGCACTTTAAGACCAGGCTTGAAGGGAAATTGACGGGTAGGTATTGACAATAAAAATTTTAAAGTCAAATTGTGTATATAAATGGAACTCGGCGAGTCTTCGGGTAAACACATCTGATTCATATCACCTTCTTCTAAACCCAAACTTGTTTGATGATCGTGTTAGAGGCCTAGTTTTTACGTTGTGTGTTGTAAGATTAGAAGGTGTAATTTTGGTTGTCGACATCTACCAGTTCTTTTAGTTAAAGTGGTACAGAGACAAGGAAAATTAAAGACATGATAGGAGATAATTAGATTTATTCCTTCATCAACATTTTGGAAACTACCTCCTTTTCATTTACAATCCACAACAAACATCTAACAATAAATGCGACCTATCAGCAACACGCTCCATTATTAAGGCAGGTTTGATTGATTAATAAGTTTCTATACTATTTTTCTTTCCGAATTTTTTATCGTTAACAATTTGGGAATGACAAATACTATAAATTAATATTGGTACCAACTGGGTCCGTGACGCACGGTGCAATTAATATAATATAAATAGTGCCGATGCGTCATCTTTCGCCTTCTTATGTGCCGGTACTTATTAATTAATCATCCCAAATGAAAGACATATTTTATTTGATTTGTGTGCCATTTCATATTTCCCGGTCGGATGTGGTGACGAAATTTCAACTCACTTCTTTTTCGTCAACTGACCCCGAACATTCAGTCTCCTAGGAACGCACGGATCAGTCGCAGTACTCAGAAGCGATTGGCTACGGCAATGCAGAAACGGCTTAGGGCTTACAAAATCAAAATTTAAGGCTTAATTCTAGTCTCAATTGACAGCTACTTCGAACCAGAACAAATACTCCAATTTATATTCATTATATAATAAAGTAAAATACAATAGAGGCAAACAAAATGGAATAATTAATACATTCAACAAATTTTAATATAATGTACGCTAGCTGCTCGCATATTTGGACAAACTAATCCCAATTATAAATAATTGATGTTATCCGGGCGCATAATTTCGTAAAGGCTACATATTAAGTAGGACAAAGTAAGTGAACATAAAAAAACGCATAATTGCGACAGTCTAAATTTTCATGAAGTCATGTCCTGAAATTACGTCCCCAGTGGTTGTATACTTTTCATAGGAAATTCAGTTATTTCGAGACACGCAAGTTTCGTAAATTATCAAGACTACGAGCAAATCATGATGTATTCTGTGGTAATGTCCCCGCATAACGGTTACTTAGAATGAAACGGTAAAAGTTAGTTGAATCAAAAGATAAATATTTCATTACCAAAGTGACCAACAGCAGTTACATGAATTTCAACTTCGGAACCTTCGGTAGAGCCGGTGCGGTTAATCTCGAGTATTATAGTACCTTAAAATCAAACGGTATAACGCAAAATGGTGCCAAAGATCCCTCCTACATACCGCTCCCACCTCTTCCCCTTACGATATTGCTCAAAATTAAAACTTTATTTAATCAATTTCTCGGCTCCTCGACGTCATCAAAATCTGGGACTGGGCTCAACCGACATGATAATGAAGCGCGCTTCAAATGACACCCGCCACACTCCAACCAAACGACGTTTGCTTCAACACCTCTAAGGAGCTACCGATAAACGAATTTAAAACAATGAATTCTACACTTTATGGTCACCTCTTGGAAGTTCAAATATGTCCAGATGTGTTTCGTTCAAATCCAATTCAATTAATCAAAAATGAATGAAAAGCAATTACTTTGAAATGTTCCTGGGGTGAATTTGAATTTGAAAAAATTTTAAATCCTCGACAATATTGCATATTTTTTATTTTTATTCAGTTTCGGCGACTGACTTCTCTGGAGCTCTGTTTACGCAAGTGTTGATTTTAAAAATAACTATAAGGGCATAAACTATCTACGCCCTGTCGTAAATATATTTCTACAGTACGAATTTACAAAGTGTTCTCATTCCGATTTTAAAATCTTGTAATGTTAGTTATTTATCGTTTATTTATTAAGTGTGCTCACGTCAGCAATTTTAAGTATTCTAGTTGGTTTACTCATAAAATGCAATCAAAAGTATTGCTAAGTGAACCATCTGGTAGCATAGTGGACCAAAATACTGAAATATCAATCAATAAATGGCATTGTTACCCCACTGAAAATCAATTATAACTGCATTTATTATCACAAACAATTTTTAAAGAACACACTCGGCATATCCAAATTCCACAAGACTCTAAATTTACTGCGTTCGTAAACACGCGTGACAAAATTTAAAAGCACTTACAAACATCTTAAATTTAAAACTAAACCCTGTCTTTCTCCTATACTACCTAAATTAAATCTAACCGAAACAAAGTTAATAGCACAACAAAAAAAACTTACTTTTCAAATACTTGTATGATCGTGACGTTATTTAAAATGTTTGTTGAATTCAGACGATTTATGTTAATTGTTGGTTTACGATGATCATCTTCAGTGCATTTAACTCCAAAAACAAGAGATAGGTCAATCTTCAATGTTATAATGACAAATTTGACGGCGCAAGACTGTTCCGGTACAATTTTTAAATTCAGTAACAGGTGGTCGCTCAGCCGATTTCAAAGATTTGGTTTTGACTTTGTGTTTTGTTTTACATAGGAAAATTTACACATATACCACTTCATAGCGAACGTGAACAATTCTGTCTGGAAATAAAAAGCGGTAACGATGCGTACATATTTGATAAAGATTTGCAATTTAGAGATAAAACGTCGGTTAGGTCGTATAAAGGGAGTTTTCGGCAGACGAGGTTAGACTCTTTCAAAGAGCTATCTAAATATACCCCACGTCCTTTTCATCGACTGAAATTCTAACGCCCACACAGATAAGTGGCAGTACTCAGGACCGATTGACCACGGAAACTCGAACTAACATTAAAGGTTTACAGTTTGAAAGTTTAATCTCAATTACGGCGTCACTGACAGGGGCAGTAACCTTTTTACTTTCCGTTTCCAGTTTTGTTATATCATCTCTAATGATAAATGGGCAAATCTTTTCTCAATTATGCTAACACTTTAAAGGTTAGTCTACACCAAAACATAATTCTTAAGAGGTAGTATATACGTTTACCTTAATGTGAAACAGTATATGTTTTTCTTGGTTGATATGAAGCATTTAAACACACTTATGCGATAAGTTTCAATTATGGGGCAAACTCAAATTAATGGTGAAATAAACCTGTTTACTTTATTTTAATTTTTATTTGTAAAAATATAAAATTGACGCATGCAATTTACGATCTATATTGAATTTCAATTCTTCTTATGTATTCTATATATTTAGATATCAATGTGTATGTAGGATATTGATTTTCATCACAGGTTACTGTTCCAGTTTCTGTTGATGATGGAGATGTGCTTACAAGGCCTCTAAGATAAAATCGGTTTTGATTCCTTTGAAAAGTCAATCCACCTCCGTTGTCACCAAGGCAAACTGGTTGTTCTAAAAAAAGTTAAAAGTTTTGGTATATGTATATATGTATGAGCGAATGTTGTATGCGTTCTTACTTGCAGATAAATAAGCGGCACATATTTTGTCGAAAGTTAAAAATTTTCTAAACTCAGGTGGAACTTGATCATAACAATCCGAGTACGGCTTGTAGAGCACTTGCAATGCTTTTAGTTCCATGGAGGGCTCACTACCAAGGACTGTTTGACCCCAGCCGACAACCTGCAATACGATTACTTTATATAAACGGTTGCAATCACTAAACAAATATAGAAAACGAGCTCCTGGGTAGCATAGCATGTGCCTCCATAAATAATAAAGTTGGCACTGCGCAGGCGCAAAACTGAAACTGGCGTGCAATTCGGGTTAGAAATGGTCGAGATGCGAAAAGAGCACTGTGAATGTTGATCCATTAAGCTCAATTTTTGGAATTGCGTTTTACATGGCTGAAGTTATACGCATATTGAATTTCATGCAATTCGGTTCATAACTCACGGAGATGTCAAAAGGGCCTTCCTTATTTTTTGGGCTACATTGCCAATTCACGAACTCCGATCTAAAAATTTGATAAAGAATCCATCTACTAAATTTTATGGTAATCGGTCCATTTGTTATCGAGATATCGTGCTAACGGACGGACAGACGGAGAGACACCACAAAATTATAAACTCTCTAGGAGCGCGTTTATTAGAGAAATAGATCAACCCCTGCAAATCTGGTAAATGAATCTAATTCAAAGCAACAAAAACAATGATAAGAATATTTACAGCATCATCATCACTGAGATTTGTGGCGAACAATAATTTAATTCTTCAACAAATTTGATTCAATAGGAGTTTCCGTAAACAATTTATCCAAAACTCTGAGACTAGATCTCGACGAGATTAGCACTTTAAGCTAGGAAGTCGAACGTACCTGAATGCTCCTAAATGTGGAACGACAAAAATCAGAGAAATGCCGTTGGGGTTACGGGGCTCATCCATGAGAGGGACCAAAAACGGACACTTTCTCGTCAAGCGGGTGGGTATTGAGATTAAGGGATCGGCACTTCGAGGATTCCACGGTTTGTAGGTGCGTTGGTGATGACCACAAGCAATTGTAGAGGAGGAACGGAGGATCAATACCAAACTAAAAACACCCCAAAAAAAATCCAAATTTGAAGCGCCTCCTCACCTCTGAAAGCGCCCCAGAAAGATGAAAACTTTTAATCCTCCAAATCACGATAACAAAACACTGCCAAATACTGAAATCTACCAAAATCCCACCAAAATAACACCAGAAGAAATTTTTAAAGCTTTATCATCTTTTCCAAACAGGTCATCTGGTGGAATGGATGGATTAAGAACCCAGCAACTAAAGGATCTATGCCAAAAACTGAACGGAGACAATGGGTTTAAACTCCAGGAATTTTTAGCGAAATTTATTTATTTATTTATTTACCATTATAACAAAAGAGAAAAAAAAAATACATTAATACATATAAGAGAAATGAAACGTGAAGAGCAGTGGGTGACATTATCCTTTCAGGCCAAATTCCATCGTTCTTCTTGTTTGACGTTTGGTCAAAGCACTCGGATGACCTTTATAATTTAGGTGGCCAAACCATAGGATGTCTTTGAATAATTTATGGGATCAATGCATTCGGGTGACCTTGTAAATGTAATTTGACACCACACAAGTGGGGTCAATGCTCTCGTATGACCTTGAAAATTTATTGAGTTAATGGCCTCGAATGATTTTGTAAATGCAATTCAGCACCACAAAAAGGGGCCAATTACCTCGGGTGACCTTGAAAATGGATGGGGTAAATGAAGAAATGGCCTCGAATGATTTTGGAAATGCAATTCGACACCACAAAAAAGGGCCAAAAACCTCGGGTGGCCTTGAAAATTGATGGGGTAAATGAAGAAATGACTTTGACTTTGTATGCCATTGAAATTGTAATTTGACACAACAATGAGGGACATTGAATCTGGATGGCGTTGAAAATATTATTTAACACCACAATTAGGGTCGTTGACTTACACTATGGGGCCTTAATGCGCTTAGAAATGTAATTTAACACCACATCCATTGAGCCCACTACCTTTGTAAATATAATTTGACACCTCAAAAATTTAAATACGATCACTACAGCTTGCCCTTTGAGCTTTACCGCGCCCTTCTTTCCAAGGTCACCGCCAACGTGTCACGTAACCTTCACCTTGACCCAATTTCCACCGCAACCGGCCACGTGGCATTCGACTTCTACTTTGACCTAGTTTCCAAGGACAACGCTCACGTGGCAGGCGACCTTCGCTGTCGCATTTTTATTAGTTGACACTTTTTCTCGTCTAATTGCTAAGCAACAGGTTTTCATTACCTTAACAACCCAAGTTTACTCGGTAAAATACAAACCTCTTGTGCAATTATAAGTGACAATTCAACTCATGTATAAAAAATCGCATAAGCCGCAGTGCAATAAATTGTCACTTTGACAGCGGCAAAAGTTACCTGCAACTTTTCCAGCGACAAATGCACTAGTGGTTTTTTCACTTATTAATTTTCGAACCAATTATCGCATTATCCTTTCCCATGGGACTGGTTTGACATCTGTCCATAATTGACTAGTTTGGTGAATTTCTTGTTCGTTAAATTGTCCTGCCGAATTACACTCGAGGTTTGTATTTAAACCGAGTAAATTTGGGTTGTTTAGGTAATGAAAATCTGTTGCCTAGCAATTAGACGAGAAAAACTGTCAACTAATAAAAATGCGACACCTAAACAACCCAAATTTACTCGGTAAAATACAAACCTCTTGTGCAATTATAAGTGATAAATGATTATGAAAAGTACTATTACTTACGATTCCTACATTATTTTCTACGAGTTGCTGCTGTTCAAATTGGTTCCTCCAATCAATACACACAGGTTGTACGTCACCAGTAACTTTCAAGCGTTCTTTTAAAACAATGATGGCAAGATCCGCCTCGTAATAGTTGTACATTGCTTTATATTTTGGTGCAATGTAAATGTGTTCTATCTAAAAGCACTTTTGTAACTTTTACGAAGTTAAATTGTTCTTCTTCTTACAGCAGACTCTTGAGCTCCATGATCTCTAGGGTCGTCATAGTTACGATAGTATTTGCCTGCTACTATCTTATAATCTTCAAAAGGGTATAGTTTTCCATCTTGATCTGTAAAGCAATGGGCAGCTGGAATAAAAACAGTTAATGTTAAAGTTGCAACTTTTTTCGAATTAAAGACCTGAGAGCACTAGTCGTTGGCTAATTATTGAACCTCCACATATGTTATCATTGGTAGCGTTGAATACAGCGACATGCCATGGATAATCCGATTTTTTTTCAGTTACATCTCCAACCAGGTGCGGTACGTTTTTGGGGCGTTTGTGACCACACACTAAAATACAAGCTGAATGTTAGAAAATACAAATATTATGAAAGGTTGCTTGCGAAACCATCCCTCCATCCGTTTTGGGTTATCGTGCGATGCGTCACTGTTGTGTTCCGAATACAACCAGGGTATTCAATGAAAACGTACGGAACCGAAAGGTTATTTAGCCGTATCAAGACAATTAAAAAATGCCTGTTTTACACCACTTTTAGTGGGGTAGAAGCGTGAACTGTTACTAAATTAAAGCAGTCCCTCTATAGAGCTTACAATTTTCGTATTGTATCTATAGTATCTAATAGCAAATAACAAAAAATGGATAGGTATCATTCATCTTTCCCCTTGTCTTCCTCAATCCTCACATTAAAAATTTGGGCATCTTCAATTTCTTACCACATCCTCCATCTCATAAAATAGCTCTCCTTTTCATAACGCAAATCCCACTGTAAATATCTGCACTAACCTGGAAGGCACTGTGGAACAGGGTAATCCCAACTTCCATTTAAACAAAGAATATCTGGATTCAGAGAGAGTTCTGGCATTTCATGAAACGGTTCACATTCGAAGACCGCAACAGTATTGTGGACAGGATTATCACAATTATCCAAAATTTTGTCACCATGTTTACATGTAACTTTTGTTGTTGTTGTGGACTGTAACGGTTTGCATGCCGCTGGAATAGGATTGTAAATTGATAGGAGTTTTTGATACCACCGTACGTGCACATGTAGGTGGGGTCGGGGACCATTTGCCGTCTATGCACAATGGTAGATCTGCTCCTACACCAAGCGCAGGAGGATACGGCTTATATTGAGGTTCTTCACATTGCAAGACTAAAACTTTGTACATTGGGGCATATTCTCCAGGTGTCGAATTTCCCAGGCCAAGTCTGTACTCTCCATTGTTCGGATGATTAGGGATTAAACAAGCGCCTCTGCAAAATTACAGATAAATCATCTGCTATGGATATACGAAGATTACTGTTGGATAGTTGAATGTTACTTACGGTGGTGGCTCCTTTGTAACTTCCGCACATTCTTTCAGTTTTTCATCATCAGAGTTTGGACAATCAGCTTTACCATCACACACCTTTTCTTTACTTATACAATCGTTTGAATCACAATGAAATTGGTCACTCCTAAAAAATTGCAAGATTATCGAAGTCTTTCCAACACACGGCATCCCCAATCTGGCCAATTTTGCATTGGCGGTGCGTTCCAAAACGAATCACGAGCGCTTTATTTGTAGAAGCAAATTTTTAGGGGACCTTTTAAAAAGAAAAAATTGCTATTTTATACCTATCCGTTTTGTCCGTTCGTCTGTCTATCTGTACCATATTTAACGCGACAAAATTAAAAACAAATACTCCACTGAGTAGAAAATTTTTCTTCAAGTAGTAGCTAACTGTACCGGGTGACCCAATAAGACTGTTCTTCGGCCATATCTCGTGAACCGTTCGTCGTATAACAAGTTCTAAAAATGGCCACCAGATTATTTTCGTAAAAACAAAAACTCAGTTATTTCAAAAACAAAGATGGTGTTTTTCCCATAACCTGCTTTCACTTCTTAACCGTTTGACCGATTTTAACAAATTCGGTATCGTTGAAAAGAGCATTCCTTAGGAAAGAAGAATCACCCAAAATATGGTTAATTTTGTTGAATCCTTCTCCGCCAGGGGGCTAGTTCTGTCACTATGATCCAAAATCCTAAAAAAATAATTTAAAAAATCAAATGGAATGATGACTTTTTCTTTATGTAAACGTAGCCAAATAACACCCAAAGAGGCCAGTGAAAATCGTTTTTCAAAATCTCGTTCCTAACCTCAAATATTGGGAAAATGAGATTAATTAATTAATTAAAATGCTTAAATTGTATCTTATTTGACGTATTTCCGGTATTTGTCGATGGCGCGAAAGATTGTTTGGAAAAGGACCCTACACTTTTAGGTAGGCCTTGGAAAATTAAACAAATGAAACACGATGCATTATAAAATAATAACAGCCGTAATTTGTAAATTATTCTGCTGTGTTTACATTCAGAAAGTGCAGTTTTTTGAATTTGTAATCTTTTCTAAAATGCCGATTTCTAACCAAGAAGCATTTAATATGCTGGCGGCGATGGTTCGTGGTCGATTCGGATAACGCAAATAGAAGATGTGGGCAGCGATGGTCGCATTTTGAAAATACTCAAAATATATCGCCAGCATATTAAATGCTTCTTGGTTAAAAATCGGCATTTTAGAAAAGATTACAAATTCAAAAAACTGCACTTTCTGAATGTAAACACAGCAGAATAATTTAGGTACAAATTACGGCTGTTATTATTTTATAATGCATCGTGTTTCATTTGTTTAATTTTCCAAGGCCTACCTAAAAGTGTAGGGTGCTTTTCTTTCGCGCCATCGACAAATACCGGAAATACGTAAAAAGTAAATTTAAGATACAATTTAAGCATTTTTATTAATTAATTAATTAATCTTATTTTCCTAATATTTGAGGTTAGGAACGAGATTTGGAAAAACGGTTTTCACTGGCCTTTTTGGATGCTTTTTGGCTACTTTTTCATAAAGAAAAAGTCATATCATTCCATTTGATTTTTTGATTTTTTTAGGATTTTGGGTCATAGTGTCAAAACTAGCCCCCTGGTGGAGAAGGATTCAACTAAATTAACTATATTTTGGTTGATTCTCATTGCCCAAGGAATTTTCTTTTCAACCATAACAAATTTGTTAAAATCTGTCAAACGGTTAAGAAATGAAAGCAGGTTATTGGAAAAACAATTGAACGCCCCACACCATCTTTGTCTTTGAAATAACTGAGTTTTTGTTTTTACGAAAAATGATAGATAAACTGATTCTTTTTAAAAATGTGAAAAAAGAATGTTTAGTTTATTATGCGAAGTATAAAGAAAATGCAATTTTAAAATTGGTGGCAGTTACGCCCTCTGGTGGTCATTTTTAGAACTTGAAAATATTTTCCAGCGATTCTTCATGACCGATTTACTCAATAATTTTTTTACTCCTAAGTCATACGACGAACGGTTCCCGAGATATGACCGAGGAAGAGTCTTATTGGGTCTCCCAGTAAAATGAAACCCCCCTTTTATTGATCTCATAACTTTGGACTTTAAAAGTAAACTGCGTGACCTTAAATAACCCTTTCCTTTTCAATTTTAAGGATTCGATTATAAACAAGAGCATTCACTTAACCTTGAACGGTTTAGGAAGTATGGATTTTTGAATGGATCTTGCATCTTGAATTTTTAGAGAAACATCGACATATGGTATAGTAAGTTATGTTTCGCGCCAACTTCCGGTATTTACGGAAGCGACGCCATCTTGAATTTTTTCTTTCAATTTGCAATGTTTGTTTATGGCTGTCAAATAAATTTCAAGTTTCTATTTCAACGGCAAGTTTAAAAACTTTCTAACGGACGGGCTACGCGAATCTCCCTGTATAGTATCAGTTGGATCGCAATACTATGCGATCAAAAATGAGTTGCTGTCGAGTGACCTTTGGAATTTTTGTTTACATGGGAAATCATACTTAATTTGAACAAAGGCCACTAGACAGCAACTCATTTTTGATCGTCCGTTATTAAAGGAAAGCCAGGAGGAAAACGGAAACCGCCATTATTGTCGAAAAAAGTGAATGCATAATATAAACATTAACTTAGTTTTCCCCCAAGGTCTCTAAACATGTCGACGTCTTATTTCATTGTTTAATTACAACCCGATGATGACAAAGTTCATCAAAACGCTTTTAGCGGGTATGTTTTTGCATATAGTTCAACAAATACGTACTTGCATTGTGTAGATTGGCGTCTATATGTTTCGAGAGTATCATGTATTCTAGCTTCTTGGGATCCACTTGGGTTACTGCACACAAATTCTCCACCTGAAACAAAGTTAAGTTAATTAACCAAAACACTGTTATAGTGTTAATGATATAAAAGAGCTTATCGTTTTATATGAAATTGGAATTGTCCATGCTCCATTAATTGCTTTTAGCAATTTAAGGCGCCCAAAAAATTCTAATTTGCAGATGGCTACAAAATTACACAAACTACTACAAAATGGAACACATTTTAAGATTGGACATGTTTATGGTTTCGTATATTATGAGTACAACAAAGTTATGAGTTTTGTTCAAGGCGAAAAGACAACGGTGTCGGTGACCATTATAACGTACTCGACCGCGATCGATAGGTGAAGGGAAACTTGGGGATACTGTCGATACGGTACGTACTTAATAGTCTTCAGTTGTTTTTTTTAATTCCAATCTAAAATTCTCCTTTTTAGCGCATTTCCATAAAAATAAACATGCGCTATTGTGGCCATTTTGTCCGTCCGTCTGTCCGTCCGTCTTTCCATCCGTCTGTCCATTTTTTCGTCCGTCCGCCCGCCCGGCCGCTACTAGATCTTTATACGAACTATTGTTATACTTTTTCGCTATCTGGTTCGACGTCGAGGCAAGGAAGGAAGCAAGGAACAAGGAAGGAATTTTTTTAGGTTTATTACTCAAAAAGTTATAGTAAAAACTCAATTTTTACATGTACCATAATGTTACACCTTTTCCTATTGTCTATTAACGGTCATCGAGGTAGTTTATAATTTTTATTGTTTGTTTGTATGTCTGTTGCCTGTATGTCCGTCTGTCCGCTTGTCCGTTTGTCTGGCCATCCGTGTGCACAATAAATTTGTTTAAAAGCATCGGATTGCTTGGTACGTATATTCTTAAGAATATAAGAAAGGTCACTATTGTTTTTCAGCTATGTAGACTAACGAACCAAAAAGATACAGTCTAAAAACTGACCAAACCTTCAAAAAAAGCTGGTTCATTTTTATCGTTCTTGTTACAAAGAATATAATGAGTATCCGGTTTTCTTTGTATCCCGTAAACCTCAAGCAACTATGCAGACTAATTAAAAAAATACGTTGATAACTATAAGTACGCATTTTTTGTTGTTTAGATATTTAAATGAAACTTTGTATACAGTGATATTCATTAAGAAGTAGACATAGGGATTTATGTGTATTGTTTTTCCCTATATCTTAAAATACAAAATATCTTCTGAAGGACGACTAATTTTATGCATCCAAAATAATTTTTTTAAACAAAAAAAAACGTTTCACTGTCATATTAATTAGTTTGAATATTGTTGCTTTGGCTTAACAGAAAATAAAACTCTTACTATTACCGGCACCATACTAATTGGCAATATCAACTTTTTGTTCAGTTGAATACGACACGAACGAAAATAAAAATACGGAAGCCAACGCAACAATATTCAAATTAATTAATAATGACAAGTAGATCTTTATTTGTTTTAAGAAGTAATTTTGGTTGCATAAAATTAGGCGCCCGTCACAAGTGATTTGGTCATTTAGAAGTAGACGTAGGGAAAAACAATACGCATAAATCCCTATGTCTACTTCTTAATAAATAGAACTCTGTATACAGTGAGTTTTTTTTTAATGCGAACATAAGAGTTTGAATGCAATGTAATTTCCGTGTGTTCGATTAAAAAAAAAACACATCAATCTATGAGGTGTGCGCGGTTCACATTCCCAAAACGCACAACTTGTGTGACTATGACAGCAGCTCATAGCTTTTGTGTGTGATGAAGAGCACTCGATAAGATTTTTTTAAAGAAGCGTTGTGAGGCCATAGCAACTTTAGGATACATTTGTCTTAAACCTACGATAACTTGACCTCACAGTCCACGCACTGACACCACATCTCATTGTGAACCAACCTTCAATTATTTGTAGGTCATGTGCACCTGGTATTCTACTAATTTTTATTTATTCAATACATAAATGAAGAAAATAAGAAAATAAATACCGAAAACAATTACAATAAAATGTTCGAAGTGTCCTCCTTGACATTCTAAGCAATAACCTAACCGATTTCGTAATTAAATTGGACGGCGGTATTTTTAAAAATGTAACAGCTGTGAATTGTATCTACCGGTCATTTGAACTACTCAATAGATTGATGTGTTTTTTTTAAAAATCGAACATAGGGAAATTACATTGCATGCAAACTCCTATGTTCGCATTTAAAAAAAATTCACTGTATTGGTATCTCGAATAAAAGTAAAACTAATACCAAATTAAAAAAGTTGTTTTACAAGTTATTTTTTTTTTTTTATTTATAATTAAAGAGCTTCGACTGCAAAATAGGCCATTAGCTCTTGTACGGTTAGATTTTTTCAAATAAAGATATGTTTTTGAGGAATGACATTGTATTTGAGCGTCCCTCACCAAGGGCGTCCTTTAAGTTATCTTGTATGCTATACAATTTCCTTTGATTAGTGTATTCTGTACATTCTAATATTATATGTTTGACAGTGATAATTTTTTTACAACGTTCGCAATAAGGAGGGTCGTCCTTAGTGATAAGATGCAAATGAGTTAATCGTGTATGGCCTATTCGCAGTCGGGTCCAGACTACAGATTCTCTTCGGTTTTGGAGGTAGGTTGTCTTCGATTGCCGCGAGACTTCTTTGTTGATCTGGTGGGACAGAATCAACCCCATAGGTGTGTTGCAAAATTGATGGATGCATGATGATCTCGAAGATCGTTTGGTATTCAGTTGTATCAGATTTTTGTGCTTACTGATTATGTTATACGCTAAGAATAGGTTGTGCATGCGCAGTGTTAACGTTCTTGGAGTAACTAATTTTTTCGGGGACTGTTAACGTGGAAATTCGCTTTTTGTAAATCGTCTACTACTACTTTTTGAATTTGTACAGTATTACGGTATTTTTCGACACTTATTTTAGATTTCTGTCCTGTGCTCTGAATGTCAACGTGAAGAAAAAAAAAACGCGGGCAAACGGCGGGAGCAACTATGACTCTCGGCGGAGGGGGGTCAATGTAGCACTCAACGCTGTCAGGCTAAAACTTTTGGAACAAATTAGCTTTTCTCAAAGTGCAGTCATTTTAAATTTCGACACTGCGATGCTAATGTATTTTGTGGTCGCCGCTCCCTATGGGGAAAGAAGAAGGCATCAAATGAGACAATACAATGTGGGTAGCCCATTTGAAAGAATAGCCATTGATATCGCGGGCCTCTTCCCGGAGACAGATTCAGGAAATTAAGTAAATGGACAGAAGCATAATGCTCTACCAAATCAAGAAGCGACTGCGTTACACCCACAGTCAGACGAAATGGTCGAACGTATGAATAAGATAATGGGGAAGTACTTGTCAAAAGTTGTGTCCGACCATCAGAGTGATTGTGATCAATATCTGCATTTCACCCTCATGGCAAACCGTTCTGCGGTGCAGGAAACTACAGGACAACGCCCAGCTTCGGTGCTGTATGGCAGAGAAATCCGGTTGCCGCGCGATTTTCAGTTTGGTACCAGACCTGGCCAGGAAGAAACTGTGGGGAACGAGTACGTGGAAAACCTGCAACAGAAATTGGGCGTGTCGATGGTGACTATGCGTGACAATAATGAAACGAATTTGGTTTCAATCACAATCAGCCATGGAATTATTGCCATATGAAGTACATTGTAAACTTCGAGACAAAAATGGAAGGTTGATTCCCAAATGAAATTAGTATCGATGGTTTTGTAATTTTTTTGCCTCTCCAGTGACGTAAAATTCCAATAAGGCGTCCATTTAAAATAAGGAAGTTGATGTCAATATCTCCAAAATCGAATAACAAAGATAGCCATGTTATTCTACTCAATTTTAAGACACACTGTATAAAAATGAAGCGCATGTGGGTTCAGTTCGTATTTCGATGCGCTTATGTTATAAATTGTAGGTAAGTTATAAATAATATTTTACTGTTATAAATTAATTCATTTCATTTCAATACATTTATTGTTAATTTATTGTTATTTAACGACGTAAGTAATTAAATTTACGTTACACTATGATGATAGATATTAACAAGCGCCACGACCACGAAATTCATTTACAACGCGCGTATGTAGGTATGTAATAGGTTCTATGTATTACTTACTTATAGTTGCAAAGTAAATAAGGATCATACAGTACACTCCCATATTTTCATTGATGTTTTTTTTTTTAATTTTTTAGTCAGTGTAATTGTACACAAACTTTGAACACATGAAATAGCGGTATCACTGTCAGGCACTTAACATAATTCACTTTTGCACAGGTTTTTGCACGAGTAGATTATTGTATGACTATAGTAAGTAAGCTTCCAATGTTAAGTAGACATCTGGTTAAAAAAACAAAAACAATCATATTTATACTTACCAAGAAAATTAAACGTATTTCCCTGTCCTTCGCTATCGTCAGTTCAACTAATTACTTATAGTTGCTTACAATTTGTTGCTATGTAGAATGACTGAATAAAGAAATGCAGTTTCGGAAAGAAGATAAAGCGTCCGTTGAATATATCTCCATAAATATAAATGTTATTAAATATAAGTTTTTAACGTATTGGTTATGGTTGCCACATTGACTGTGTTTGCGTTGAATTCTGGGACACCATCCCTCCGCGAGCCAAAATTATGACCAGATTCAACAATTCATTAACGATCCTCGAGATCGTTTAGAATTTTGTATTGCTGTCTATCTGTCCGTCTGTCCGTCCGTCCGCTCGTCTGTCCGTCCGTCTGTCTGTTCGTCTGTCTGTCCGTGTGCACGACTGCACGATAACTTTGTGTAGAAACGTCCGATCGCTTTGAAAATTGATACATATGTTCTTTAGGATGTAAGAAAGGTCGCTATTGTTTTTCGGCTACGTAGACTAACGGGCCAAAAAAGTTACAGCCCAAAAACTACCCAAACCTCCAAAAAAGGGTTTCTTTTATAACTCTTGTTCCAAAGAACATATTAACGTCCGGTGCTTTGCGTTAGTAAATATTCCTTAAACCTCCGGTAACTATGCAGATGAATTAAAAGAACTGTGCATGCGCAACCCATTTTTGGTATTTGGGTAATCCCAGTGTTTTATCTGTTAAGATATTTAAATGAAATTTGGTATGTAAGCACCTCGAATAAAAGTAAAACTAATGACGAATCAAAAAATTTGTTTTGCGCATGAGCAATTCCAAATTTTTTATTTGTTCAGATACTTTGTATATACGGACCTCGAATAAAAGTAAAACTAATACCGATTCAAAAAAATTTTTTACAAGCTATGCTGATCTGGTGGGACAAAATCAATCCCTTAAGGTGTGTTGTAAAAATGATGTATGTGCGAAGACCTCGAGGATCGTTCGGTATTCAGTTGTATCGGATTTTTAAGTACCTTGTTTGTAATTTTTATAATTTTGAGAAAAAATTGTTTTTTGTTGCTATTTTTTTATTGCTATTATATTTCATTTGTTTTAATGTCATACCTATTAATCGCATTAAATTTCTTTAATACACAAAATAACAGCAAGAGTCTAGGAAAAAGTAGGTAGTTTAATAAAAAAAAACAAACAATATACCTAAAGAATAACGTTAATATTAATCAAATTTATCAAAAGCATGTTTTTCTGGAGCAAAAACCAAAATATTAAATAAAAAAAGTTTGTTTTAATTCAAGACGTTGCGTTATTTTTTCCGGGATTTCTATATGAAAAACTGGGACCCGAAACAATGCAGCTAAATCCCTTATACTGTTTGAAGTCATTAATATTGTAAGAGAATTAATTGAAATAGTTTTTCCTTGATGGATTGATAATTATCAAAAGAGGGTCTCCAAAGGTAAGTGGATAGATTTTCAATTCCGAAGGGAAGAAAATTGCCAATTAGGGGTTGCAAAATGTTGAAGTACTGAACTAGCTTGGTCTATTGTTCTTTTTTTTATTTTCTTGATGTTCATTGCCTCCCGAAATTTCATACCACGGCCGGCGATTAGTGGCGTACCCTCGAATAGGAAGTCGTCACTATTTCCAGAGTTTTGCAATCCGAGAACTTCTAACTCCTGTCAATTCTGCGCTGGTATGTCGCTTATTTATTAACATAATGGTGTAGATGCAGAAGATTTTTTATATCAAACACGTTTGTCATTTATCTAAAATTTTTGAATAGCAAGTAGGTATAAATGGATTGATTTGGTCTACACCTTTTCCACTTTTATTCGAGAAGTTGTAAATTGTATTTGAGAATTGTTACTTGTATTTGAGAAAACGTCAAAGTAGATGAGAATAGTCAGTTGGATTTGAGAAAACACCAAATGTATTTGAGAATAGTCAAAAGAAAGTATCATTTAATTTTATTGTATTTTAGAATGTAATATTATTCCTAATGAATTATAATTAAGAATCAAATTTTTATAATTCCGCTACTGTATGTAGTCCCGCAACAGCAGCAGCAGCATCAGGCTATGTTATACATGATTTTGTTATTGATTCTCAAATGCTTAATTTTACCATTTCTTGAATATAATTTACTAGTCTCAAATTCATTTGATGCCTTCTCAAATACAAATCACTATTCTGAACTACATTTGTTGTTTTCTCAAATACATTTTACTATTCTCAAATACAATTGATACTTTCTCAAATTAACTTGATAGTTTCTCGAATAAAAGTGGAAAAGGTGTAGTAGCAATCTTTCCGCTGACATTGATAAGGGGCATTATAATTATCCTAAACACTTTTATTTATCATAGATATGGTTATCAACAGAAATGTATAAATAATAATAATGAATAATAATAACGATAAAAATAAATAAATGAGATTTAAGGAATTAAAATTTTCAAAAGTCAGAGAAAATGTATAACAAAAACTAAGAAATTTCAAAAATTCACTAACAAACAATTTAGAGAATTTAGAAAATTTCCGACACCCTCGTATCACAAGTATGATGACTCAACAAGTATACGTAATTTTTTCAAATTAGATTTATAGATTAGCTATCCCTTTGACGTTGGATGTGTCCTCTGGAGGAGAACCGTTTGTGTTATATAAAAGTGGCAGTGGAGACAACAATAAGGTCTTAATGTTAACCACATGGATAAATTTGGACATGATGCTATGTACATGTTTTGAATGCATTGAAAACCCTTGGGCCTAACGCTTGTTTCCTTATCATTTGTGACTAATTTTGAAACTGTTGCTAAAGTAAATTTGTTGTGCTAAACGGAGTGTGTAAAGTTGCCTAACCTCTTCAAAAGAGCATGTTACAAGTAGAAAGAGATGATTGAATTTGTCCCATTCTATTTGGTGTTTCTTTATTTATAACCTTTCAATGGATTTAATTATAAATGCAAGCCAAGGAGCCTAATAACACTTGCCTAATGAGCTTTTCTATTGATATTAATAAATTCATTTTGTTTATTAATGCATGGTAATTAAAATACTATTAGTTTACGTATTTTCCTGTTTAGTGTTTATTCAAAGGATTTTGAGTTTTTCAAGTATGGATATTTTTCTCTAAAGCAATATTATTTTGCATATGGTGCACTATTATTACCGGCGATTGTAAATGAGGCCGATGGTTAGGTACCTCATATTATAAAGTATATGAAAATTTGGTCGGTGTCCAATTTAGATTAAGACACCAGAAACCGAATCAATCTAGTTACGTTTGTTGATATACAGGAGGAAAGCGAAACGTTTTAGGTTTTGTGATGTTATCATATCTTGCTACCCATGCAAAATAGAAGAAAGGTAATAACTGTCAGTTTGAGATATTTTTACGTAGACTAGTAAAAAAAGTTTTGGACCACTCTGAGATTTGATTCGAAGTTTGTGTTTTTTAAACACCGTATGTTTCATAAAATCAGTTGTTTGCTTTCTTTGTCCTAATTACACTGATGTATCACAACCTATATAAATTTTTCAATTTTACCCATGAAAATGAATAAAAACGTAAGTTTTTACTGTTTGAAATACAAATAGCAGATTAAATAGAGATTATGGTTTTTTAGCGCATTTCCACAAAAATAAAAAAAAATGCGCTATTGTGGCCACTTTGTCCGTCCGTCCGTCCGCTAACTTTGCGACGCTACTAGTTTTTTATCTTAAGAGCTATTGTTCTACTTTTTTCGCTATTTGTTATTTCGTTATGGTGTCGAGTCTTGTACCAAGGAAGGAATTTTTTCTGTACCGCTTACAAAAAAAGTTATTGTAAAAAAAACAAAAAACCGTTTTTCACATGTTCCAGAATTTTTCACTTTTGCCGTTTATTAACGATCCTAGAGATCGTTTATAATTTTGCATTGCTATCTGTCGCCTGCCGGTTGGTCTCTCCGTCTGTTCCTTTGTCTGTCTGTCCATCTATCTGTCCGTGTGAACGATAACTTTGTTTAGAAATGTTCGATCTCTTTTACATCTTCGTTAGTTATGAACTGAATTGCATGAAATTCAATATGGGCATAGATTTAGCCATATAATACGCAATGCCAAAAGTTGAATCGAATCGATTCAAAATTCACAGCGCCCTTTTCGCATCTCGACCATTTGTAAACCGAATTGCAAACTTTTTTACTTATAAAAGTATATGAATGAAATTTGATACATAGGCACTTGGGATAAAGGAAAATCAAACGCCAATTTCAAAATTTGGTTTTGCGCATGCGCAGTGCCAACTTTTTATTTATGGAAGAATTTAAACGAAATTTGATACATAGGCACTTGGGATAAAGGAAAATCAAACGCCAATTTCAAAATTTGGTTTTGCGCATGCGCAGTGCCAACTTTTATATTTATGGAAGAATTTAAATGAAATGTGATACATAGGCACTTGGAATAAAGGAAAATCTAGCGCCAGTTTCAAAATTTTATTTTGCGCATGCGCAGTGCCAAGTTTTTTATCTATGGAACTATTTAAGTGAAATGTGATACTTAGGCGCTTGGAACAAAGGAAAATCTAACATTAGTTTTAAAATTTAGGTTTGCGCATGCTTGTTCCAACTTTCTTATTTAGAAAAGCATTGAAATGAAATTCTTCTCATAAACTGAAATTGAAGTAGCACGTCAACAATGGATTGCCCATGTGCAACGCTATCTTTCATATTTGTTGCCGGATTTTTACGATTTTAACAGAAGTTGCATCTTACAAATGGGAAATGAATGCAAGTGGAAATGCGCTTTATGTAAATCGTTTACGATTACTTTTTAACTTGTTTTATTATATCCATGGTAACTAAGGCAAACTATACCAGTCAATAATGCTGATACATAATAATTGTAATCAGGATAAAGAATGAAACAAAAATTATGTTATAGATATAGGGCGTTCCATTTAAAAGATACCTATTTTGGGTCAAATCTCAGAAACGGT